GAGGGAGAATTCTCCGAGGCTCGTGAGGATCTCGCTGCCCTCGAGAAGGACTACGAGGAAGTCGGTACCGACTCCGTCGAGGGAGAGGGCGAAGGCGCTGAGGAGTACTAAATTACTCATGCACACATCAACTATCAACTATCGACTATCATTTTTTATGACTTTATCAATCCGATGCAAAAGAAAATTATTTGTTATGGGAAATTCCATCGAAGAATCATTCCTATCAAAGTTGACAATGAAATAAAATTTTTAGTACTTTGACACTCTGAAATATTCATTCATCACTTCCTCTCATTCTCCGGTGGTCCTCTCCTGTTGCTATATCCCGAATTTTTTTCTTATTCTCGAAATAGTCACAACGAAATATTGATTAATGGAGAACCTTTCGCAGTGGAGGAGGAGGAGGAGGTTTTTCCTCAGTTATCCTATAGGAAAGTCTCTCGTTTCGGTATTGATCTACCTTTCTGTCTGACTCAGACTCCCGTCAGCCTATGGGAATCATCGGTGTGGGCCGGGTCGGGTATATAGAGAGACACCGGCGTCACAGCCGCAACAGTCGCGTTGAGCTCATTCCAAGTGGAACTTCGTTTTGCGAGGCATCATCACCGGCTTCTCATAAACTACCCCCAACAGACTTTATTCTGCTAACTCTTCAAAAATGGTAATTATCCATTAATTAATCACCATTAGAAAATTTTTTGGAGAAATTGGTAATTAAAAATATTAAATTCAATTTATTTAAGTATATCTCTCTTCTTTCTTCTCTATTGAATGATTCCCTCGTACCAATCATTACAACTGATGAATTTCTGGTAATTTTAAATGTTTCATTTTTAGCGTGAGTGCATTTCCATTCATGTTGGGCAAGCTGGCGTGCAGATAGGTAACGCCTGCTGGGAATTGTACTGTCTGGAGCATGGAATTCAGCCGGATGGCGAAATGCCATCAGATAAATCCATTGGAAGTGGTGATGACAGTTTCAATACGTTCTTCAGTGAGACTGGAGCTGGGAAGCACGTCCCTAGGGCAGTCTTTATCGATCTCGAGCCAACCGTAGTCGGTGAGCAACACTTGCATTGTTCATTGCCCCCTTACTACCACTCGGATATTCCCTGGCGTCGGAATGGTAGTAGTCTCATTATTATTCATTTTTCATTATTATTTCTGGCTTGCAGACGAGGTTCGTACTGGAACGTATCGGCAATTGTTCCACCCCGAACAGCTCATAACTGGTAAAGAGGATGCCGCAAATAATTATGCACGAGGTCATTATACGATTGGAAAGGAGATCGTGGATTTAGTCTTGGACAGAATTAGGAAGCTGGCTGATCAGTGCACTGGCCTCCAGGGTTTCTTGATTTTCCACTCGTTCGGAGGTGGCACTGGTTCTGGATTCACTTCTCTGCTTATGGAGCGTCTTTCTGTGGATTATGGAAAAAAATCAAAACTGGAATTTGCCATCTATCCAGCCCCCCAGGTCTCCACTGCTGTTGTTGAGCCTTACAACTCTATTCTGACAACCCATACCACACTCGAACACTCTGATTGCGCCTTCATGGTTGATAACGAGGCTATCTACGACATCTGTCGCAGGAATCTCGACATCGAACGCCCGACGTACACCAACTTGAACAGACTTATTGGACAGATAGTGTCGTCGATCACAGCTTCTCTTCGTTTCGATGGAGCTCTCAACGTCGATCTCACTGAGTTCCAGACCAACTTGGTGCCCTACCCGAGGATTCACTTCCCTCTGGTCACCTATGCACCCGTTATCTCAGCAGAGAAGGCTTATCATGAGCAGCTGTCTGTCGGTGAGATCACCAACGCCTGCTTCGAGCCGGCCAATCAGATGGTCAAGTGTGATCCACGTCATGGAAAGTACATGGCCTGTTGCATGCTCTACCGAGGCGACGTTGTTCCTAAAGATGTCAACGCTGCTATCGCCACCATCAAGACAAAACGCACCATCCAGTTTGTCGACTGGTGTCCAACTGGATTCAAGGTTGGTATCAATTATCAGCCACCCACTGTCGTTCCTGGTGGTGATCTCGCCAAGGTACAGCGGGCTGTCTGCATGCTGTCCAACACAACTGCCATCGCCGAGGCTTGGGCTCGTCTCGACCACAAATTCGATCTTATGTACGCAAAACGTGCATTCGTCCACTGGTACGTGGGTGAGGGCATGGAGGAGGGAGAATTCTCCGAGGCTCGTGAGGATCTCGCTGCCCTTGAGAAGGACTACGAGGAAGTCGGCATGGACTCTGCCGAGGGAGAGGGCGAAGGAGCCGAGGAATATTAAAATGAAAAACTATTGCCTCACCTAATGAGCATGACCATTCCTGCAATCTGATGTAATCGCTTCATTGATAATAAAATGAATTTTATAGCTCAGACCTGAATTAGTATCACCATCACCTACCCCATCATCAATCATTAAAAAAAAACACAATAAAACATTTCAACACGTGAAGGTATCATTAAATTCAAAGGCAGTACACCTGGAATATATATTTTTCTATATACACACTTTAATAACGAAAAACAAACATTACAATAATGTGAGAATAATAATAAGATCGGTAATATAATTATTATGCGATGATAGAATTGTTTATCGATCGTATTGTGAACCCTATAATTGCGCCCCTCATTCCTTCAGCATTGACCTTTAAGTAAATGTTCGGATTGTTTTATCATAGTAGCCAGTTTGAAATCATTGTAGATAATTATGGGGGCGCAGTGGTGTCACATTCCCCCATCCCCTAGGATTGGAACGTGCACCGGGAGCTTTCCATGTTTCATATCTCTCCGGCAATTTATTTCTCGCCTTTTTTCACCTTAGCATAAATATTATAGTGCAATTATCTAAAAAAAAATCTGTCTTTTTATGCATCTTACACATTCAAATACTCGAAATTTACAATGTTATTGCCCTTACAAACATTACATTACATTACTATCGAGCGGTAGTAATCCGTAATGAATCTTCATTAAAAAAAAATTCTCTTTCTGCTACCCTCTGCAGTTTTGAATGATTTTTTTGTCGCTTCATTTTTTATGAATGTGTTAAAAAAAATGTACGCTAAGAAGAACGCGTTTAAGTGCTGTCGAGAAAATGAAATTTCATTATTTAATTTTATTTCTCTTATTCTTGTTCCCGTGTTTCAGTCGGGAGTCGATGATCCCGCGTATTATCCCGACTATTGATTATTCATTATTTATTCAGAAACAAAAATCATTTCTTGTTGCTCTAGCAGAATATAGAGTGAACGAACAAATAACGGGAGTTATGTACAATATGACAATTAATAAAAAGTTACTTGAAAAAAATAGATAAATAACGAAATTCTGTGAAATGTCGTTTTACTCACTTGGGGAGAAAATAATAATGGAGATGATTAATTCCCCTCTCCAGGATTTCTACTCCCGTGTTATGATTTTTCGTCTATCTCTTTTCGTCAGTTAAAGCTCGATTATTGTGAAAAACACAAAATATCTCTCTTTGCGTCACTTTTCCTAACATTTACATGATGATGTGTCTGATAGCGATGAAATGATGCATAAATTATTGCAACTTTGAGCAAACTAGTCTCTTCGTCATTAAATAATGGAGAAACTCAGAGTGATACAGCAACTAATTAACAATTTTAATTCACAATTACAAGTACACAACAATGTTCATGTAAATAATAAATTGAGGAGAAATTATAGCTTCCTCACCATTAGTTCATCTTCCTCTTCACTCGTTTTTTGTTTTTATTATTATTAATCGCACGACTACGCAAATACAAAATATATAATTAATGATTCGTCCGAGGATTTTGGACCCCGAGTTTCCTTAGCTGATCGCTCTCATCTCCATTTGTTATCATTTTATACTTCTCTCTCACCTGATCTGAGCTCACGTCATTCTACATTTATCACAATATTTTTCTTTAAATTACCCATTTACTTATGCACTTTTTGTTCACTTGAATTTCGACATTTCGCTTTTTTTCATGAATTAATAAGTTACTTGGAGTGGAAGGTAAGACAGTGGTCGATTGGAAGAATATTCTCGGTTCAAATTTAAGATTTTCCTTTTTTTTCTTTCAAAAATATCAGAATTTAAATGAATTTTATTCATTGCGAGTGACGAATGGAGTTTTCAACATCAGAGGCAGAGGAATAGATAGACAGACAGTACTAGATAAATAGCTTTAGCAATAATTGCGGTAAGTAGTAGTAATTAGATAATCTGAGTTATTTGCTATTAGCACTGGCTAGGAATACGTTCTACTGGTATCAAAGTCAATTTATTCGAAATTAATAGGAGACGAAAATGGGAAATAATGTCTCGATATGTTAACGGATATCTAGAGTCGAGGCAACTCTAACAATTGTTGCAAATTTCTTTTATTTTAAATAGTTATCTTCGATAGGGAGGAGAAAAATAATAGGATTAGAGATATGTTCTTTTACGTCGAACTACGTTATAGAATTTAATTCACTTGTTTTTTTTTTTTTCGTTTTTTCTGTATACATTTTCTGGTTCTATATGACATAAAGCACTCTTCCACGCCAGCCGAGTAATCACGTGTTTACAAATCGCAAGCCTTGCCCCTATTAAATGGTAATTTCATGACGTTATACAACTGTACTTGCTTTATCTGTTTATTAATTTCTTGTTACAATTGTTAACGCATTTTCCCTTTTTAAATTTACTTTATTCTCAGTTATTGAAATTAATTACTTAAGTGGTTACGGTAATGATAATGATAAGAATATGATAACCATATATTATATGTACCTCGAAAAGAGATTCTCGTTTCCTTCCTCAGTTCCCCCCATTTTCTCTCGCTCTCTCGTATTCGCGACTTTTTTTCCTCTTCCCACACTTCCTCTCATTACTACCTTTTTTAATTAACGATTTTATAATTAATATGCAACTCACGCACTCATCCGCACAACTAGTTTCCCTTTTTTTCCATTATTTGTTTTTTTTTTAACGCTTAAACTATGGTTCTCTTAACTATTTGCTTGCTCCTCTCACGCTTTAATTTTTTTTACATAAATATTGCGTTTACCCAGACATTTTTACAAAAAAGTTTAGCTTTTACCCTGGAATAATGTACTTTTTTTCGTAATTAGCCGGTGCCCGCTAACCATCGGAATTTCATGCGCCTCCAGCAAGTTAATTCGACTATATTTTCTTGGTTTTTTTTTCAGGCTCGCGTTTAACTTTTTATCGCGTGAATTTACATTTCAATTTTGGGACACGGTGCAGGACCCCGGGATATTCGGTAATTCGAAACGGAGCGTCATCCCCTGGCATTAGACAAATCGTCGGGTTCGTCGGAGGATCGATATTACGTTGCTCTTCGTATTTAGATATTGCCGATTATGCTGTTATATTCATTCAAATTATTCTCTATCATCTCGCACCTATCACTCAAAATACCCCGTTTATTAAATTCTTTAATTATTTATTAGTAATAACACATAAGTATTCATGACCCTGTTTCGTAAAGGCTTCGTAACGTAAGTTGATATCTGCCGAGGGTGATAATTTGCAATTCAATTAGAAATATGGAACGCGGCAAGTGATTAGTGTACTTCTCAATTGATCGTCCACTTTTCACACATTTTGCTTGAAATTTCAGTTGAATTTCAAATATCAATTGAAATACTTTAAAATATCCAAATATCAGGTCTAGCAATAATATCTGAATCAATTTATTTATAATAGTTGATGATTAAATCATTTTTGCCTTTAATTAAATTTCAATTGCACGTATTGAAATATTGAATTTTAGTGAAAGCTTTGACTAACAATAGAAATCAGTGACAGGGAAAATTGATAGTTGTTAAATAAAATAAATGTTAATTGTTAATTACAAGGGAATTCGATTGTTTTTAAAAGTACAAACGAAAACTTCTGCCTGCTTTTTATCTCGGAAATATCGGCAGTTAATCCCGCGAATAATCCCCTTCCGGGGATTTACCGAGTCTTCGGGAAAGGGTTTTCGTTATTGTGAGAGTTAGCTAGGAGGAGATGAGGATGATGCTGCGGAGAGAGGCCTTACACTTGGCTTGGCATGTTTGTGTTATCTTTGCTCAGCAGCGATTACGCAAGAGTGAAAAAAAAAATAAATTTAAGAAGATTTTGTTCACTCAGGCTCATCCGTTTGATGAAGAAAATGAAGATTTATTTATTGATTCCAGGGAAATTGGGAGAGATAAAGCACGGTGGATTGTTTTTCATTATTTTTTCATGCACTTTACGAACATCGGAAAACAATAGCTCTGCGGTTTATCAAGGGAAGAAGAGATATTTGGCACGTCGCTTGGCACGGTCCTCCATTTTACTCTTTTTTTTCTGTTTTCTTTTCCTGTTTTTTTTTTTTTTCGAATGATCGATTTGGGTTTTTTTTTAAGGAATACCTCCCCTCGATACTTCCCACCCATTAAATTCACTTGTCTCAATATTTTGGCACTAGAACTGCACATTTATCATTATAACTTTCTCAAGCGATTAACGCCATACAAAAAATACAGCGCCTGAACGCCACATAAAATTGTTTATGGGTTTTATTTAGGTTTAAACATCTTTAGTTACTCGATTTTTACGCAGTTATCGAGATTATGAGTTGCACACGAGGCCACCCAATATTCTATAAAAACTAAGTTATTTCTTAGCTGATTGCCTTGCGTTACGGTAAAGTTGGATGGCTGACGAGGTCTAGCTATTTTAATTTACCAATGAGAAATTCAGCCGAATTGATGTAGTGAATAAAATCCCATCTACCTCCGAGACGAGCAGATTTACGAGACTACTTGTCTATACCTTCTTTTTGCTGAGAATTTAATTACCAGCAAAAAATGTTTTACGACTTTATCACCTATTTCCACTCGTCACCAAGATTATTTCATATTGAATAAGAGAAATCGAAATTTTCACTTCAACATTACTTGTTATTTTTGACATTAAAGAGTTGTTCAAGGTAAATGGGTGGAGTTAAGGACCTTGACAGCATCCAAGTAGTAAGGATAAGGCCCCTGCACCAATAGATTCCTCTACGACACAACATTAATCTCGAAAACATGAGTTATATACGTGAAAGATGGAAATTATCCATCTAGCTGTGTCTCAATCAATTACTCATGTAATTCTGTTACAACGTTTAATAACTCTTCAGATGGGACTGCAAGGAGATTACAATAATCATTCAAGTAAAACCTAGACCAGATATGCTTTATCCACTGATAATCCACACTGTGTCTAAATATTTCAGAGAATCATACAGGGGCCGTATTATGCATTGAATGATACGTTTTTTTTTACAATTTTCCTCTTTCAGTTAAATTCGATATCGTTCCAGAAAAAAATAATACAAAAATTGTTAATCGTTCGTGCACTCGAAAAGCCTTTACATTTCCAATGTATCTAACTTTTTAGTCCTTAACTACTTACTATAAACCAATTCTAATCACAGCAATTATTTATTGTTGATATACACAATCATACAGCGTCTCTCACTAACTTGTTTAATCTCTTAATTTTTTGTTTTCAATATTTCGAGTTTGTTCAAACGCAGGCTCGGGTTCTCACACTTTACCCGAATTTATTTTTGTTCTTGTCTGTGTACTTTTGGCTGAGGGAAATGAAGAGGGTTAATTGAGTATAATTTGTGATGTCGGGTGGGAAGATTCGAGTCTCGCCTCGGATCAAAGATTTCATTGATTCGATTCCCCCGGAAATTTTGATTGAGCTACAGGGGAATCAGCAACTCCTCTGGCAACGAGTAACAGCGAATAAATTAAATAAATAGGAATAAATAAATAAATAACGAGGTGTTGACGTATTTGCATTGAAAGCACCTCCTCCACAATTTGTTATTCTTTTGAGTTTCGTAGAAAAGTGAATTACAAATAAATAAAAACAATTATAACAAATATTTACAACGATTAATCATATTTACAGTTATTGGTGAATGTAACTAATTGATCGGGAAGAATTTGGATTATTTTTGTTGTTGTTGTTGTTGTTGTTGTTGTTGTTGTTGTTGTTGTTCAGGTGAGAGCAGGAGTCGAATGGGAAGCTTGAGGATAAACCGAGGCGAGATTATTCAGGGTTATTCGTCTTCTAGAGGGAACGCTGATTAATACCATTTCACGATTCATTTTGGCACGTTTGAGGAAGGATATGTGTCACTCGGATATGAATTTCATTATTAATTAAATTTTCTTATCGAGAGTTACCTATCAGTCATTACAATTTTATCAAAAACAGAAATAACAATGAAAATCGATGAGGTGGAGAAATAATAGTTGGGAAGTCGATAAGATATTTTGACACCTCCCGCCGATCCAAAGTACCGTACTTTGAACCCCTCATATAGCCCTATCTCCACTAATTAATTTTCTTTTATCGTATAATAAATATAGTTTATATATATATCCATATGTATATAATATATCGTTATTTAATATTCCACATAATTTATTTGTTTTCCTCAACAAAAGAATAATTAACAGAAGATTATTGAGAATACCCGGTTCAAGTTTATTCTCGGAGTCTAATGAATTTTTTACCAACAGCACAAATTTTGCATTTTTTACTGTCTCGTTACCCAAGCACGACCTTTCCCTATTCCCTCGTTCTGCATTTCCGGACATCTCGCGTTGGCTTTTTACCAGCCTCGGAGGAACGATACCATCCCCTATTACACCTGTAATTTGTTTTTATTATCCCCCTTCCCCGTTATTCCCTCATGCAGAAGCTGATTCAACTATTAATTAATTACCCTCCATGCTTGGCAATGCAATTTTTTTATAATCCCTTACCGATTCTAGTACTTTTTACACGCGAAGTAGAGAGATGAGGGAGCGCAGATATTTAATTCAGCCAGATGATCGAGAGCTCATGAGAAATCTCCCCGCTAACACTCTCAATGCAAACCCTGTTCTTCCGAATTTATAATCGTTTAACATCAGGCCTCATCCAGCTCCCCCACCCCTTTCAAATAAACAATTCAATAACAACGAAGAAAAAGAACAAAATATCGTAGTCATTAATATAATGATGATAACTCTTTGTTCATTTTTTTTAGACTCCCTCGTACCTTTCTTTTTGTTTTTAAATATAAAAATGAAAACTAACATATCTTTGGCTTGTTCCCTTTACCAATCGGCGGCAGCTAGCTGCAACGTCCAATATTATGTTGTTTTTATTTTTTTGTTTAATTACTTTAATTTATGTTCCTCCCTTCTCTCTTTCATTGGCTACCCGAAACAATTTGTGGCCTCTCTGTACAATTTTTTTCGGCGCCCATCGTTGATGCATTAATCTTTACCTCGAGTGCAGGTGTTTACATTCTTTAGACAGACTTCCACTTACTTTTACCACTTTGCGCTCCTCAAAACCACTTTAATTTTCTCTCACCAACGTCCCAACCTCCTCCCCCTCCCACCCTCC